CCTGCCTTCAAGGAATTTATACTCTGAGTGGGAAGGACTTTACACATGTAAGTTGTTGAGGAGTTTCTCAACCAGTGTCTTCTAGAGTAGAGGCTCACCTACCAGCAGGTCCACAGGTCAGATGTCAAAGAAGCTGAGGAGCCAGAGTAAAGAGAAAAGATATATTAACACACTAAGGCACCTTCTTGTATTTAGAAACTTCCACTTCCTCAGGAAATGGTAGTTGGTTGTGTATATCCTGCAGTACATACAGTGCCAGGCCCGGTATCAGGAAGACTTGAGTTCAGATCTGGCCTTAAACATTTACTAGCTGTGTCACCCTGGACTAGTCATTTAACCTCTGATTGCCTCAGTTTCCTCAACTGTAAAATGAGGATTATAATAACACACCTCCCAGTGTTGGGAGGATTAAACAAGATAATATTTATAAAGTTCTTAGCACAGTGTTTGGCATATAGTAGGCATTATATAAATGTTGGTGATGATGATGGTGGTGGTGATGTAGCTGAACAGCAGAACAGGATTTGGATTACGTAACAGATAAGCAGCATTCCACTACATTATTTAACCATATTTTTCACCTTTTGATTAGAAGGTACTTCTAGGGGCAGCTGGGTGGCACAGTAGATAGAGCACCGGCTTCTGATCTGATATAAAAAGAAAGCTAATTAATTACTGGACTTAACTTGGGTTCCTAATGAGAGGCCCAACATCAACTCAACTGATGGTTCTAAAAAGTCTGGCAGATGGTTGACTGGAAAGCCCTTCCCAGAGTAAATATAAGAGATAAGAGAGGTGCCATCTTAGTCACCCAATATGTTTTTAAAATGGCATTTTTTCCTTCCACAAAATAAGTGTAAAATAAACACAAGATGATGGGGGAGGAGGGGAAAATGTTTTACTTGCATTTATGAGAAGCAGGAAAGGACTCCTCTTGAAGGTGGCACTTGAACTGAGTTTGGAGGATGCAAGGCTTTTTAAGAGGCAAAGGTTAGAAATGGTGCTTAGTAGTAGTTGCAAAAGGTTTCCTGGGCCCTGAAGGATAATGATGAGGTCAGGGAGGAGCTAAGGCATTTCAGCCTGGTAGAAGTAAAATCAGATAGTAATAGAAAGAACATGTTGAGCTTGGTGTGGGTTGGGATACTTGAGTGGAAGTGGTAACAATGGAATTTCAAAGGAAATAATGTATTACCACAATTATTTCCAAGGAAAAATGAGTAGCCCTTGATGAATGATTGGAAATAGGGAATGATAGAAAAGGATTAGTCAAAACTTGATTCAGAGATTTCAAGCCTGGTTGACTGAGAGCATGGGCAAGTTGTTGACTGGGTTAGTAAAGTTAAAGGAAAAGGGTATGGAGTGGAAGACAGTCACTAAACATTTGTTAAATGCCTAATATGTGTCAGGAATTTTACTGAATGCTACAGATACAGATAGTCACTGCTCCCAAGGAGTTCACAGTCTAATGGGGCATGTAAACAACTATGTACAAACAAGGTATGTGCAGGATAAATGGAAATCATCAACAGGAAGTAGAATTAAGGGGGATTGGAGAAGGCTTCCTGTAGAAGGCGAGGAATTTTAGAAAGAAACCAGAAGATAGATGAAGAGGGAGAGCATTCCACGTATGGAAGACAGCCAGTAAAAAATGTCCAGGGTCAGGAGATCAAGTATCTTGTTCAAGAACATCCAGAAGTTCAGTGTCATTGGATCACAGAATACACAGTGGGTTGTTGGGTGTAAGAAGACTGGAAAGGTAGGAGAGAGCCAGGTTATAAAAAGCTTTGAATGTCAGAGGATTTTATGTTTGGTACTAGAAGTAAAAGGGAGTCCTTGGAGTTTATTGAGCAGGGGAGTGAATTGGTCAGACCTGGTCCGATCACTTTGGCAGCTTGAGTAGAGGATGAACTAGAATTGGGAAAGACTTGTGACAGGGAGAACAATCCGTAAGCTATTGCAATATTACAGTCATGAGGTGATGAGTTTCCACAACAGTGTGGTGGCATTATAAGGGAAGAGAAAGCATGTGTGAGAGATGTTATAATGGTAAAAAATCATGACAGCTGTCAGTACCCAAGCAGAGTTATTCAAGCCTGGTGGAAATTTGAAACTCTTCAATTATTGGCTCTATTATATTATTAACTTTTTTTTTGGTGAGGCAATTGGAGTCAAGTGACTTGCCCAAGGTCACACAGCTAGTTAAGTGTTATGTGTCTGAGGCCAGATTTGAACTCAGGTCCTCTTGACTTTAGGGCTAGTGCTCTATCCACTGCGCCACTTAGTTGCCCCCATTATTAACTTTTTGAGGACAGAACTTATGTTTATTTTGTCTTTGTATCCCTAGTAACCACCCTAGTACTTTATGCATAGCAGGTATTTAATAAATGTTTGTTTGAATTAAAGTGGAACTCAGCTGGGATGCTAAATTAGGAGTGTAGTAGCAGGTGACAGTTGAAGATATGAAATGAAATGCATCACCTCTCTAAGGCTGAGAGAGTAAGTAGAAAGAAAAGAATACTCAGTTGAGTATTTAGTCTCATGGACTTATCCTATGATCTAATGATTTGGCAAATGTCATTGATAGAGAGTGGTAACAGAAAGGGAAAACCTATAAAGGGCACAAAGAAGAAGCAGATGGAGAGAGTGATATGGTATTACAGATTCCTAGGGAAATGGGTGAAGGACATTGGGGGGGGTCTTTTTAGAAGTTGTGTATAAATCAGAATTTATATATGTATATATATATATATATATTTGTGTTCATTTCAGCTGGTTTTAAAAATAGTACTTGAACTTTAATTTGAGCAAGAGCTAGAGAAGCAAAAAATAAGTAAACCAGTTATTATTGGACAAGTTTCTTGACCATGACTCCTGGGAAGTAAGGGGGCAATAGATTTTTTCCAAATACTTCAGTCTTCTAGAATTGGAGACTCATGAAATGTTGAAGGAGAAAGGGAACAGTGTTGCTTCAATGCATACTGAGAGAAATGATTAATAAATAACCAATTGTTAATATTGGGGAGATCGAGGTTTTCTTCCCCTTCCTATTTATTTCCTCATTCTCTACTAGGTCAAATCAGCCTCTGAAGAATAGAGCTGATAATGAAATCGGATTTTAACATTCTCCTCAATCTTGCTCTGACCCCACCTAACTGGAGAAACTACCTGGGTAAATTCTGGCCCATTGTATTCTACTCTGGCTTGAATCCAAACTTCACCCAACAAATCCCCTTAATAAAAAGTTTTGTTCTATAAAACTTGGACTCAGTCAAAAGGCATCACCCAAGGACCTAGAAGGCTGCCTGTGACCTCCAGGCTGCAGGTTCCCTACCCCTGAATTCTAGTCCAACCTTCTCACTTTACAGCAGAGGAAAGGAAGGCCCAGAGAGGTGAATTGACTTAGCCAAAGTTGCTCAACCAGTGAGCAACAGAGTTGGCAATAGAGCCTACACCTCCTGATGTCCAAGTCAGCCTTCTTCCTTACCATCCTCCTGTTTAGTTGCCAGCGAGTACAATCAGCAGTTCACCATCAGAACATTCAGGAAGCTTTCTAGGTTGAAGGAGATTTAAGTTGCAATTCAAGACCAATCAGGCAGCTGTAATTTCTAATTTTTGTTTTTAAATTTATTAACATACTCTGTTTTTACTTGACCCTCATTTCCAAATATTTCCCTCCTCCTTTCCTTTCCCAGATAGGCTGCCATCCCTTATAACAAAGCATAAAAAAGAACTGGGATACTGGGAAGGGAGGGTGGGACAAAGCAGTTTCACAAACTTAACAAACATATCAACTAAACTTGACAGTTTATGCAGTCTTCCACACTCATAGTTCCCACCTTTGTAAAGAAAAAAGACTTGGCCATTTCACATCTTTTCTTTGAGGCTAGGCTTGATCTTTATAATAACAACATTCAGTTTTGTTGTTGTCATTCTTTCCATTTTTACATTGTAGTAGGTATTTTTGTATCGGTCCTTTTAAGTTTTCCCTCTGTTTCTCCATAATTTTATTCATCATTTGATAAAGCAATGTATCCTATAGTATTCATGTATCGAAACTTATCTATCCATTCCTTAATTGGTGTACATTTGCTTTATTTTTATTTCAACACTACAAAAAAGTGCTCAGACAGCTATTAATGTATTTAATTATTACTTTGCATATAGGTAGGGCTCTGTAAGAGAGTCTCTATCTTCCTTTTGATTCCCACTTATAAAATATGAGCTAGATTCCACAGGAATGGGATTCTAGAAACACATGAAATTATTAGTGTGCCATGTTCTTTAATCTACAAGCCACTTTGCCAGCTTTGTTCAAGTGAAGTGACTACAGAATTGATTGAAAAAGCAAAGAATAGAATATGATTAGGCAACAGGAACCCAGTTGCCCCTGCTTAAGGGAAAAGACATGGAAAATTGCCTTGCTAGGGGCATTGATGAGTGCTTGAAAAACTGGCCAAGTCCTTACTGCTCCTCTCTGGTTATCCTCTAGGCTTCAGTCCCACTCTTTCTCAAAAGTAAAGGGGAAAACTAGATGCATAGATGGAACTTATTTCTGGATATATCCTTTCTATAAGATTTCTAGGATCTAGGATTTCATACCTCATGGTGCTCTGTCTATGATGCAGTTCATGATTTCTGTGCCCTAGTGAAGAGACTTCATGAATTGCTGTGGATGAAAAAAATCAGTGGACAGCCCTTGGATAATGAGTCTTTTCAGATTTAGCTAGGGAGTTCAAGGTGTTTTTTAAATGACAAACATACAGACTTTCACTGTTCTAGGGTTTCAGGGCTTAGGATCTACTGACACAGCCAGCAAGAAACCAGAATCTCCGCCATACCTTGATGAAGCAAGCACTAGAATAGGACTTTTTGTGGAAGACCACAAAGAATATCTGGATGCATTTCTATTTCCTTTTTCTTTTTTAGGTTTTAAATAAGAACCAGTCTGTTTTATCATTTGACTTTGACTTGTAATGTATTGAACTGTTTTAATTTTTCAGATATTTCGAAGGAAAGCAGTGGAACTTGGAGAAAAATTACTTCCTGCATTTCATACTCCCTCTGGAATACCTTGGGCATTGCTGAATTTGAAGAGGTAAAATTCTTAATTTATGTAGTCACATTAATAGGAAGATGAGTTATTATTTGAGTCTGAGGTTGATTAATTCACTTAGATATAGTTTGGAGGTTTGTACTCTAACCTTGTACAGGCTGATTAGCTTTGCTATTCTGTTTAGCCATCTCACAAATATTTGTCATTGGTCACAATGAAGACCAGGAAATAGAGGTCATTGTTTTCCAAGCACTGTGAGAAAACCAATTTTAAGTATGTGCCCTGTGAACATTAGGTTAGACACATTATTTCTATATTTACAAAGAAACATCATCTTGTCATTGTTTTGCTCAACAGAAGGGGTTCTGTATCTATTAAGCACTTCTCAGGGGATCTAGAACATTTTGTCATGGATTTAAGCTGCATGCCAGGATGTATTACAAAACGAAAACACTCTTGCCAGTAGATGGGCCTCAATCTTGGAGCAGCTTATGTGGTGGAAGGTTCCCTTGAGACCATCCAGTCTGCAACTGAACCTAGGAGAAAGGATTAGTTCATGAGCCATTGAAAACCTCCAAGGTTGAATAGATTCTTGAGTTGATAGAGCTTTCTTGGTTGCTCTGTCCCTTCACTCTAAAATGAAAAGTAATTCTGCCTATGAAAAAGGTGTGGAGTGTGGTTTATCAGTCTGCAAGCAAGCTCCAAGGAGGCCTGGACTGAAGACCCAATGGACCCTCTCATTCTTCCTGTTGGGAGTAATTTGATTAACTCTGGTTGTTTAAGCATCCATTTGATTAACCATTTTCTCTTAGTTTCCCCAGTTAACTCCATCCCAACAAAATATGAAAGCAATATGTACTTTCATGCCTGTGGTCTTGTTTTTTATAGAATATATACGTGTGTGTACACATAAAAATGTACTTGCATGAAATTATCAGATTTGTCCATTTAAAGGCACCAAATCAAAAATTTTTAAATAAGCTATTTTAAAGCACATTAAATTTTAACATAGATTTCTTCAGAACACATGTTTCTTCCTAAATATTTCATACAAATATCTGTTTTTCTTCAGACATAAAAGATATTGATTATCACTCAATTAAATTTTTCCTTCAGATAGTCCATTTTCACATATCCATTGTTTTAATCTATTATTGCATATATCTGATAGCTTGAAAGATACAATATACTGTAGCCTACGTGTAGTACTGGCCTAGTGGTCCATGCAATTGAATCACCTTTAAGTAAGGTGCTGCTGTATCAAGAATTTCATAACATGATGTATCAGGACTTGTTCTTCTCTTGAGAGGGGAAGTCTAAAGATGTCTGCTATGCCAGCTAAGAGCATATCTGCAGCCCCTCTCCATCTCCAGGAAGGGGTCCTGAGAGGCTGCATGGTACAATGGAAGGACTGCCTTTGAAATTCTAGTTCTGCCTATATTATTTACCACTTATATGTCCTTAGGTTAAGTCACTTAATCTCACTGGGCCTCAGATTCCTCAACTGCAAAATGAGAAAGTTAGACTAGATGGCCCCTTTCACCTCTAAATCTATGAACTCTTTGATACTAAATTGAGTTTCAAAGATTTTATTGTACGTGAAAAAAATATTCTAAATCACTAATAGATACAAATTAAAGCACCCATCAGACTGGCAAAGATGGAAAGAGAAAAACCAGTTACAGTTGTTGGAGAAGCTGCAGGAAAACAAGAACACTAATGTACTGTTATTACATCTTGAATTACTGAATTGGTCCAGTCATTCTGGAAAGGTATTTGGAACTATTCTCAGAGGTTACACTATATAAACATGAAAGAGACTCATGAAAAAGCTTGCTATTATCTATCGGCCCCTCCAAATAAACCACCTCATTTTTTAAAAAATGTGGAATATAGTATGACCTCTTCAGATCTCTTGCTTTTACATAGCAACATACAACATTAACTTCCATGTTTCCAAACTTTGCTCTGTATGGAGCAGTCCCAAGACATCATGTTGACCACACTTGATTATAATGCTTACCTAGCTATAAACATGTTCCTGCCAGATATTTTGGTTTGTTCTTGTGTGTACTTACTTTGGAGGGAAGGGATCCAGATAAAATGGAAAGCATCTAACCATAAAATAAACAATGAAGGAAGTTAAGGAAATGAATAGAATTTTAGAAAAGTTAGATATGATAGGACTCTGGTGAAAACTGAATGGGAGTCGAAAAGAATATACCTTTTTCTCAGCTGTACATGGCACCTTCACAAAAATGACCATATATTAGAGCATAGAAACCTAACAAATACAAAAAAGCAACAAGGGAATCATTCCCCTCCCTCCTAGTTAAATAAAGAAACCTCTTCCTTTCCATTAATATATTAATAAAAGGTTAATTCAGGTGAGTGGGGATGGTAAGCAGAAATATTAAATCCACCATTTTTAGATCATAATGCAATAAAAATTATTTTTGGTATTTGATGATGTGCTGTGTTTTCAGCACTACTTCTGAAGGTTCTGTAAGTTTTCAGTTCTCCCAAGGTGGTATGATCTAAGGAGAGGTCTAATCACTATTCCCCTGGCCTGTGCTCTAGTCTGTGAGCGGGCACAAGTACTCTTCCTCACCCTGGAACTCTGACCAGAATATCTGTTCTCCTACATCTATAAGTGCTTTTGTTCCTTACAACCCTGATGTTATGACTTGGATTCCTGCTCTCCTGCAGTCACAAGTGTTAGTGCTCCTTTCTGCCTTGGACCTGAGATCAGGGCCCATATTCCCCTATGAGTGATGATAAGCACTCTTTTCCACCTTGGAACTGTGACCCGGATCCCCACTTGCTGCAATCCCAAGCACTAGCACATTAACATTCCTCTCCACCTTGGGACTGTGACCCAGAACTGTGTGTGGGCAGTATAAGAGGGTCCTACACCCAGTGCCAGAAAAAGGTCCCCTGTAACCTCTGACCACTTTTTTGACTCCACCCCTTATTATCCGTGGGCTGAGAGTTCTCAGAGCTGATGTAGCAGCCCCCCAAGACCTGCTAGTAGCTTGCCAGGGCTTTCCAAGGTTGACTACTCCTTCCCACACCCCCACCCCCTCAGTGAGACAGACTTTTCCTACCAACCTAAATTGTTTTGGGGTTGAAAATTATTTCACCCAACCTTTTTTTGTTTCTGTTGCTCTAGGATTGGATTTGAAGTGTTATTTTAGAGTTGTTTGGAAGGGAATTTGGGAGAGGTCAAGTGGCAGCTGTAATTAATTTTAATGAATTTTCCATATTTTTTTTCCACTCCTATTTACTTAAATAACAACATCCAAATCACATAGCAGTCAATGGTAAAATTTAATTGTAATATACATTTCAGATACTCACATCTAGAGTACTCTACTTCTGGACATGAAACTCATTTATCTTCTTAAAGGATGTGATAAATAACAGATGCTCTGTTTGCAAAAAAGAAAAAAAAGTTAATATGGGAAAATGAATGCTGAAAGCAGCAAATCTATAGTTGGCACATTTTAACCTCCCAAGGAAGACAATGATTTAGCCAAATACTAGATTCCTGATACTAGAACAGGAATAATAGTGGCAACATAGGATGTTTGTGACAACTCTATATGCCTATTTTTAACAGTAAAATCCATAAAGATGATTGTAATTTCATAATCTAGGGCATCTAGGATGGCTGGTATGCAGTGCCTGCTGCTAATAATAGAAACATGGACTTAGAGCTAGAAGGGACCTCAGAGGTCATCTTATACAACCCCTTTTACTTTACTTTGGGACTTCAAGGTTCATGCAGGTTCTCACAACACTCCTGTGAGGTCAGTGGTATTTTATGTATGAGAAAAACTCATTTTGCATATGAGAAATCCTGAATTCAGAAAGGTTAATTGACTTGTTCAAGGTTATACAACTAGTGTCAGAGACAGGATTTTAGCCATGTTAGTTTTTTTAATGCCACCACAATCAGCAGGGAAACTTTTAAGGAAGAAAACAAAAGGGACTGGGCAAGGAGGAATGGAACATTTTCCCCTTTTCTAAAGGGGAGTAATGTAAAATAAGCTTGAGGGTAGGTTAAAGCCAGACTGTGGACTGCCTTAAAAGCCAAACTAAAGGGATTGTATTTTGTCCTATAGCAAATGAGGAGCCCCTGAAGGATTTTGATCTGGAAAATATGTACAGGCTTATGTCTTAGGGAAGATTATTTCTGCAGCTGTGTGAAGAATGGATCTGGGGGGGGAGCAGCTAGGTGATACAGTGGATAGAGTTCTGGCCTTGGAGTCAGGAGAACCTGAGTTCAAATCCAACCTCAGACACTTGACATTTACTAGCTGTGTGACCCTGGGCAAGTCACTTAACCCCAACTGCCTCACCAAAAAGCAAAAAAAAAAAAAAAAAGAATGGATTGGAGATACTGAAGGCAGAGAGACCGATTAGAATGCTATTGTAATTATCCAGGAAAGAAATAAGGATCTGGGATAGGGCAATGGCCCTGCTAGAGAAGAAAGGAAAGAGCATAAATGGAAACAAGTGATGAATTTGAAGTCAGGGGCCTGAACTTGAATGTCACCTGCCATTCAATACTTGTGTGAAATTAGGTGAGTCATTTAATTTCCCTTGGCTTTAGTTTCCTCACCTATAAAATAGGTTAGACAGGTTAACTTTAAAGTGCCCTTCCAGCTCTAAATCTATCATCCTAAATCATATCAATTGACAAGCCTTGATTACTATAATGACCAAGTCATATTTTTCTTTGTATCAACCCTGATCCCCAGTACAGTGACTTGCAAAGTAGTATTTTATTAATATTGGTCAAATGAATGTGGTGTAAGATATTGACCCTGCCTTTAAGGAACTTATAGTTGGGAAGGTAAAAATTTGTAACTTCTCTAGGTTGTTGTGAGGGAAACACTTTTCAACATTTGCTTATACAAGCATAAGTAGCAGTCCAATTTGCTTCATTTTACAGATGAGCAAACTGAGGCCCAGAGAGATAGTGTTTTCTTCAAGGCCATATGGCTAGTTAATGGCATAGTCAGAACTAAAAACTC